GTATATATACAGATTTGCTTCAATGTACTTGTGTCTCAAAACCGATCTAAGAAGATGGATGGGGAGCAGCCTAACCTATGATGGTTCCCAGCAGGACAAAAAATTTAACATTGCAATCTCAACATTGTTGGCAAGTTCTTAAACATGTTGAAAGTTATCCTGCTTCTACATCTGACTGCTCATCCTTACAGTATGTCTGATCCATATCGCCTGTGGTTCTTCACTTGAAAACTCTGATTCATCATAAAAAGGATAGATCTGCATCTGAAAGCAAAAATACTGCAAAATCACTGCACAGTCACCAGGAATGTACTGTGTAAGGTTTTTCAGATCAGCATGTTGACGCATCATGTTGTGCTTGACAAAATGGACTTTTATGCCTCTTTTCCATGGTGTAGTGTCGGAACGGTCGGTGTAGGTACGGGTCTGTACGGTTCGGACAGGTTGGTTTTCCACTGATGTTCCAGTCCGGTTCCAATGGGTGTGTTTTGGGTGTTTGGTGGAGGTGGTATTTTGAAAAAAAAGTTAATGGGAAAAATGAGAGATGGAAACACATTTGATGAATAACCTTTGAAATTTTGAACATTTGCAAAAATTTAGCCAATCAGTGACGAACAGTGTTCTAACGTGGCATTTTGGTGTCATCTGGGGCCAGTTGGAACCACAATGAAGTAGGTACTAAAAAAGTGCCGGTTCCATGGATTTGGCCTAATGGAAATGGCTTGGAAATGTACCGAACCGTACCGACACTACACTAAGTGGCACTAGTGGAAAAGGGGCATGAGAGCTCCATGAGGTGAATGTGTTTTAATCCCCCCTCGCCATGTCAGTGTGCACAATCATCAACAAACCTCAACATGAAAAATATGTTGGCACATATAAGATATATATATTTTTTCAGCTAGAATCAGCCTGCTCAGACATCTGATCTCACTCCTTTGCTTTCTGTGACAATATGTTAGTTTTGAATTGAACAATAGAAGCACAAGAATATTAATTTGATGTCACACATGCATATTTATTTGTTTTATATATTTGCAAGTTCCTCAACTATAATAGGTTACTTGTGTCAGTTTAACGAGTTCCTTTTCATTTTATTTGTTTGTCCATTCAGTGGATTTGGCTTGTTTTACTTTCTGTAAACTCATCTGTCACAATGAAACTGTCTCCTGCATTGTGGTTCCCCAGCTACAGTARTAACACTTGTTAGAGGAGCTGGAAAGTCAAACATTTTAACATAGTTGTCAAACTTTTGTGACAACATTTGGCGCTGCGTCTGTCAGAATCAAAATGAAACCATCAAACTATAGAAAATCTAACTATCATGGTAAACTTGAGTGTTTTTAAGATGACTTTTCGTGCCRTCTGTCAGAAGCTCTTACCTGAAGCGCAGTGAGAATGTTGGGCAGCGCTTGTCCGTAAGTGTCATGGCAGTGAACGGCTAACGCATTAACCGGCACATCTTTCATCACCGTCTGCAGCATCTTAAACATGGATCCAGGAGTTCCAACACCAATGGTGTCCCCCAGGGAAATCTCATAACAGCCCATTTCATACAACCTCTTTGCCACCTGAAGAAAAATGAAAAAACACTCAACAATAAATACCACAATGTTGGGTTTGGTTTAGTTGTAGTAAACTAACATCCGAAACTGAAAGGAAGCAAAACAAAGAAAAGACAAACAAGGAAACCCACAGATGCACAATACATCTGTAGACCTTTTTTAATCTCATGTGAGGAATTTTAGTTTAAAGAATAAGAAAAAACAAGCCCAATTTTTTTTTTTGAAAATTAAATCTAATTTTACCTCGGCAACTTTTGAAGGTTCCACGCTTCCCTCATAGGGACAGCCAAGAGCACAGGAAACATACCTAAATCGGGAAACGAAAAGGTTTTTCTGAATTTCACATTTATTTAATAATTAACAAAAAGTTTTGAAGTTAAGTTACAGGAGCTGCCAGTTTTAGTTGATTTTTAAGTTGCACAACAAATTGTCACTAATTTTTGGATGATGCAGCATTTTCTGAATAAACAGGTTTAGGTTTTCTACCATTGACAGAATGTAGTTTATCTACTAAATGTGTTTATTTTTTTAAGTAATTCATGCTGCTTTTTTTTGCTTCAGTGTAGATCTGGAGCTAATTCAACTTACTGAAGATCTATAAYCTTTGCTGCTCTGTGTGTATTCCTTTAAATAAAAACTGCGACGTCTCCGTCAAACTTTCAAAACACTGACCCGCGAACTGGAATTTGCCGCTGTTTGGCAGCGTTGATGACTTCCTGAAACCTCAGCATGCTTTCATCAATGGAGCAGTTGATATTTCTTCTGCTGAAGGTTTCTGATGCTGACCCAAACACRGCTATTTCTGTAGCACCAGCCGCAACCTGGAAACAGAATGATTGTATGTACGTTTTAAGACCAAACGGGGAAAAAAAAGTTGTTGAAAAGTTATAAGCATAATCAGTTGTGGCAAATCCTAAATATTTCTGTTCATCACAGTAACGTTAAAACCTTACAGCATCTTGGAAACCTTGCATGTTAGGAGTCAAAACTGGGTACCGAACGTGAGGGGCTCTCTGGATTCCTCGGAAGACTTCAGTGTGGTCTGCCATCTTAACAGAAAACATAAAATGTAAAAATTTAAAAATAAATAATAATAATAATAATAATAATTGAGCCATCTGACAACTTTTTTAGGAACTTGTAAAGTTTGATTTCTGTCAGGGAATGAAAAGACATCTGCACACAGAAGAAAAAGTGTAAGAAGCATCCTACAGGAAAAGATTTGTGCCGATACATTGAGGAGGAAAAAAATCAGGTTTCTAATAAATCACTCAGCACTATGTTGCAGTGCACAAAGGAGACTTATTACCTGCGGTACCCACTTTGAAGACACAAAGCTGGTGGCCTCGATCACAGAAAGGCCTGTTGCAGAGAGCAGGTCTATCAGCTCGATTTTCACCCTTGTTGGAACAATTTCCTAGGGAGCAATGAAACAGAAACAGATTGCTCTGGGTTTGATTTAAGAGCTATATCACTTCTTTTTCCTGAATGCCACTCATACTGCTGTTACAAATTTGACATGTAGCATCTTGCACTTGAATGTTTTGAAATGATTCCAAACATGCTGTTCAGATAGAATTTCTTTTTTTTTTCTCCTTTCACTTCTGGAATGCAACAAGACAGTGATAAAACTCAGCAAGAAGCTGTGTCATCTTTTCTGTTCTGTTTTAAAGAAAATAAAAAGCAGATGTTTCCAACAAGTATGGCACAAAACCCATATGTTTCCGAACTATATGTATGAAAGATAATATAGGGGACTTTCTTGGGCTTATTGTTTAATAGTAAACAGAGGTTTCTATGAATGTGGATGAACTTAGTGACAGTTTGTACCTTTTCATTTTGAAGTCCATCTCTTGGCCCAACTTCAACAATCTTTACAAACTTTGGATACTTCTGCTCTGTAAGGCTCTGGAGGATTGTAGAGGACAAGGAGAGAAACGTCCTTCATCAGGATAATATAACATAAAATGGTTGGATGCCACATGAACATGAAAAACCTTACAAATCAGAGGAACAAAAAATCAGACAGCAAAAAATCATGCACTTTTTTGGTGCTCAAAGTATGTGTTGGGAAAGAATTTCAGCTAAAACCACAGCTTGATATTCATCGAATTCACTAAGTTGCAGTCATTTTTGTGTTTAATAGAGTCAACGAACTGAGGCCGCCATCTTGAATTGGGTCGATTACAAAAGTTAATCAAAGTTCACTCAGAGTTTTAATAAAATCTGCCCAATGTTTCATGAGATATTTAGCTAACAGAAAAACCAAACGTGTTCCATCAGTTAATTCCAACATTTTAAATAAGGAGCTTCAGCAATCTAAATTTAAATTTAAGCTCATTGTTTGTAAAAATTGACTGAGTTAGAGACATTTTTGTGTTTATAAGTTTGATTATATTACATTGATTCTATAGCTGTCCATCCATACGTTTTCTTCTGCTTATCCGGGGTCTGGTCGCGGGGGCAGCAGCCTAAGCAGAGAGACCCAGACTTCCCTCTCCCCAGCCACTTGGGCCAGCTCATCTGGGGGAATCCCAAGGCAAGCCGAGAAACATAGTCCCTCCAGCGTGTCCTGGGTCTTCCCTTGGGCCTCCTCCCTGTGGGACACGCCCGGAACACCTCACCAGGGAGGAGTCCAGGAGGCATCCTAACCAGATGCCTGAGCCACCTCAACTGGATCCTCTCAACGTGAAGAAGCAGTGGCTCTACTCTGAGTCCCTCCTGGATGACCGAGCTTCTCACCCTTTCTCTAAGGGAGAGCCCAGACACCCTGTGGAGGAAACTCATTTCAGCCGCTTGTATCTGTGATCTTGTTCTTTCCGTCTCTACCCAAAGCTCATGACCATAGATGAGGGTAGGAATGTAGACAGACTGGTAAATCTAGAGTCTTTTGACTCAGCTCTCTTCACCACGACAGACCGGCACAGCGCCCGCATCACTGCAGACGCAGCACCAATCCGCCTGTCGATCTCCCGCTCCATTCTTCCCTCATTCTTGAACAAGACCCCGAGATACTTAAACTCCTCCACTTGGGGCAGGACCTCCTCCCCGACCCGGAGACAGCACACTACCGGTTTCCGGCTCAAGACCATGGTCTCRAATTTGGAGCACTGATCCTCATCCTGGCCGCTCCACACTCAGCTGTGAACCGCTCCAGTGAGARCTGGAGATCAGGATCTGATGAAGCCAATAGGACCTCATCATCCGCAAAATGCAGAGATGTGATCCTAAGGTCACCAAAAAGGATCCCCTCAACACCTTGACTGTACCTAGAAATCCTGTCCATAAAAATTATGAACAGAATCGGTGACAAAGGGCAACCTTGGCGGAGTCCAACTCTCACCAGAAACGAGTCCGATTTACTACCGGCAATGTGGACCAAGCTCTGGCACCGGTTGTACAGGGACCTAACAGCCCATTTCAATGAGCCTGGTACCTCATACGTACTTCCGGAGTACCACCCACAGGAGTCCCTGAGGGACACGGTCGAATGCCTTCTCCAAGTCCACAAAACACATGTAGACTGGTTGGGTGAACTCCCACACACACTCCAGGACCCTGCTGAGGGTGTAGAGCTGATTCTATAGATGTAAATTCAATAATCACTTTCTGAGAGTTTTTTTTTTCAAAATCTATCCGATGGCTCATGAGATGTTTTGTTAACAAACAGCCACAGACACAGGCATTGCTAGCCTTTCAGTGGCTTGCAATAAACAAGTTAATGCTCAGCAAATTATTTGCTGCTTTTAGGCCTTTTCTGTGGTGAGGCGGCGAGGTGTGGCAGAGTGCGTGCAGCAGGCTGGAAACAAGGAAAAAGGACGCCCACCTTGTCTTCCTGCAGCCAGCGTCTCAGCCAAGGGTAGTCCTCGATGAGTTGCTCGTAGCTCAGACAGTGCTTCACCGTGGTGGGGATGTTCCCCATCAGAGCTGCTGCTGATGCTGCTGATGCTGCTCTGCCTGCGGAGCCCTCAGAGGATAAACACGCACCGGGGCATCACATCCGTGTGTTCACTCCTCTCTGTACAATGGACTTCCTCGCTGCATGAAAAGATTAAATTAGAGGGAAGGCTGCAGAGACGGACGATGACTCAGCAGTTGCCATGGCAACCACATCCCTGGCAGGAAGGTGGAGCTGACGGTGGAGTAATTGGGTTGTGGGGGGGTGGGGGTGAGTCAGAGTTAAAACTGTGCCAGGCAAATCAGTAACGTAAGAGAGCTTTACAGGAAATATAATACAACAATTTGAATGCAAGGTTTCTATTAACTGAAGAAAAATAATACAAAAATATTCTGAACAAGGGGGAATTCCAAAAGAAAAAAAAATCTGTAAATCAAATTTCTTCATAAACTACTTGGGGCTAAGTGCTCTCTTAGTTTTGCCAGATTTTGTGATTGTGTCGATTCAGCAACAACAACCTTTTGTTTGCCGAGAGCTGAAAGGCTTCAGGGAAACGAACCGCTTGATCGAAACCAAAAACACTGCCAGAGGTGCCACTGTTGCCAATGTCAACTTCACGATGTAATAAAACCCCTGGTGAAGGCAGGTCAATGTTCTACTGGAGTCATTCTGAACCCAGATGTTAACAATAGCGGGGCTTAATAAAGCCTTCACCCTGCTCACCACACAAAAGTGCACTGTGGTGAGAGACCTGTTTCTAAAGGGAGGGAGAAAACTCACATCACCAACCTTGAAAAAGAACACTTTCCAGGAGATCTAAGGTGTATAAGTTGCCAAAATGAAGCATCTCTTTCTCTGCATGGCTTTTAATCACTTATACATGACATAGGCAAGAGCAAAGGGTCACTTTAAATGTTTAAGTAGCGACCAAATAATACCACAAAATCTTTAGTGAGTATTATGTGTTTTTTTCTGGTTTTCATTTTTAAAATTGGTATTGTTTTCATTATTCTATGTAAAATAAATAAAAGTTGGTTTCAAGTGCCAGGATTAACAGTTCAAAATAAATCACACAGTTTTCATTTCCACAAAAGAAAAAAAAACAGGGCAGGTTCAAATAAGTTCAGTGAGGCATGAAGCAGACAAACCTGACAGCCCCGGTAGAAGCTGAGTTTTAGCATCAGCTTTGTTGTTTTGTCCTTGATGCTCCTCTGTTTCTCACCTGAGGCAAAGGCTAAAGCAGCCCCACAGGCTGCAAGGTGGGACAATAATGCAGGGAGCACARCTCTGCACCTGCTGGTGTAGATGTCAGGGCAAAAGCAGAGTCTTCAGCCATAACCACCTCCTATCTGCTGGTGTCATCCCCAGACTCTAAGGTTTAGAGGAGAAAAAACTTTAACAATAAACTCTTTTTTTGTTTTGTTTTTATGTCCTTCTGGTTTAGGTGGTCTTGCTGCCTGAACCGCCCTATAGGTAATATTGCTCTGACATATTGATTACCTTGTTGTTTTTACTCTTTTCTTTCTCTCCTTTTTGATTTCTAACAGATGCAGAGTCACTAACAATTAGGGATTTTCTTTATGAAAGAATCCTTGCTGCTCAGGTGAGTAAACATGCTAAAGTCTGTGAGTAWACAGTATGAGAACTGCAAACAGAATCGTACATTTTTTTTAAGTTACACCTTGGGTTATGTGCCTTCCTTTTTCTGCATGATGTATTGGTATATTYATATTGGTTCTTTGTGTCAAACTTTTCCGTTTTATTAATGGAATATATTTTATAWAATGTAATATGTTTGTTAAATTTCAACATGTTTATGTTTAAATTTCACTTGATTGACATTTTTGCTGTAATTCAAACAGCTGAAATAAAAGGAAGTACAACGTTGGCCCTGGTCACAAACAGCTAAAGAAAAAAAACTGACACTGGCTAAAAAATAGGAACTTGAAATGGACATAGTCCCTAAGGTGTTTTAGATTAGGCAAACAGACATTATACCAAAGAGACAAAAATATGTGTTTGTCATTAGGAAGCACAGAGAAAAATAGATTTTCACAGAATAGTTGAGAGCCAGCAAATCTCAGTGTTTAAAGATATTAGAATTGATGCAAAAGTTCTATAATGTTTTCAAAATTASGAAAAAGTTTCCTTTCTGAAGAAAGAAAACAGATGGGAGAAACTGTACTTTATGGAGCACAGGTTTCGGCATTTGAAAAAAGGTTGTTAGAGCTCAGATGTACACTGAAAATGAAGGAGAAGAAAGAAAACATGAACYAGATTAAATCAGTTTTCATCTTCCATTCGTTTTCAATTTCTACATTTCAGAACACCACAGGTTTAACTAAACTACAACAACATGCGAGACCTAGAACTGAGCACTTTATCAACCCTTTGAAAGCAGTTATCTGTAGAGAAGATGAAAGGGTTTGCTGTGTACAGCTGGTGAGTTCAGTGCCACAGTACCAGACCCCTTAATCACATATAACTGAAACTGAAATATTTTTGAAAACACTTCACAAACAAGTTGAGTACAGAAAAGCTTTACCTTTTTTCTTTTTTTAATACATCTGGCACAACAAAAAATAACTGACTTTTTTTTCTTTTTTTTTCTTGTAAAAATAGAAGCAGAACACAAAGTACCTTCATGAAGGCATCTTTGAGCTAACTTTCCATATTCCCCTYGGAGACAGCATGTGTGTTAAAGATTAGCTCTGCCGTAATCACAGCACCCCATTGCTTTTAGTCGTCGYTGATCGAGGAGTTTGGTTTGTGTCTGTCWATGAGCGCTTAGAKGAGWGCAGGGTATCATTTAAAAAAWRTTAATTTTCCTRTTCTGCAAAATAACAGGAMAAGACTGTGCGACTCGCTCAGTGGTAACAATGAACAACAGTTGACATTAAATAGAAATCAACATACCAAATCCGGCCAGACGCAAAATTATCACATCATCTTTTCATCAACAGATAGCGTAGCAGCTGTTTCTAAGCAGCCACATATTTTCCCGAGCAGATTTTACATTTTAGGGCGGATGGATTAAAGCTCCACCTGGATCATAAAGTGCACATTTTCTTTCGTTTCCWCTTAAAGGAGACAYCTCATGTTTTTAAATCCTTCCTTTTCACATTTAAATCATTCAACTGGGGTCTATATAAAATGGAACTGCAATGCTTTGGTCTGAATTCTTTCTAATTGTAACTCCACAAGTCCCTCTTTCACCTCTTTTCTTAGGTGTGTCTCAGATCAACTCATTTTGAGGCTGTCTCTTTAAATCCAAATGAGACCCTTCGCATTCCAACCCTCTACAGCTTTCAGAGCGGTCCACTCCAGTTTTATAGGAAGGTTTATGACACCACAGAAACATTTTATTTACAAATTAATGAAAAGGGAAGACTTGTCCATCCAGCCTTACATGTTGGAGCCAGAGCCTGACCCAGAGCCAGAGGAGAATGAAGATGACAGAATTGCAGCTGGTAAGTCCAGATCTTATTTGGTAACCCTGAATTAGAGAAAAACCAGCAGTTTCATCATTCAAATAGTTGTAAATAACATGAGCTGTCACCATAAATGCAATGGATCAAAAAGTTCGTTAAACAGAAGTTTTAGGTCATATTCACACCTGATAGTCCAGGGACCAAAATTGAACGATTTGTTTACATTTTCAGTTGGTACAGTTCGCATTCATACTGCACTTTGTCAAACAAACTAAATAACCTGTTCCCTCCCTCACCTGTGGTGGTGCTGCATCAAGAACCATTGAAGGAAACAACACAAAATCCTCTGAAGAAGACACTAARCGCAACTTCCTTCTTCACAAAATGTAAATGGAGTGACGTCAAATTTTAATGGTTGTAGGATTTGTTTATTGCTTTTGGTAAATGTGCTGAACAATGAGCAATGAAATCAGCATGAGTGGAAAATGAGGMAAAACTGCAGAGAACCGCGCAGGTTTTCCTCTTGGCTGAGACGGCTCCATATGAGGCGAGTTCACCGAGAAGGCGCACATCCAACATCGCTGCCATGATGTCCACAGACATCGAGCAAAATATTTACAAAATGTGAGTAACTTTATTACTATTATTACTCAGTATAACCTGCTTTACAGTCCGCTTCCTGCTTTTGGAGCGGTCTCTGGTTCATTTGGCATTCGAACCGCACCAGAGTTCGCTGCAACCGAACAGAGACCTACCTTTTCTGGCAAACCAGAGTTTGCTTTTTGGTACAAATCAGAGTTTGATTACGTGTTCACACCTTCCCAAACGAACCGGACTTTCCAAGTAGATGAACTAGAGTTTGATTAAAGCGGACTAGACAGGGCTGGTGTGGATACACCTTTACTGTATCTTCATTAAGCACTAGAACGTTCATCCATCCAGCTGTCTATTCTTTTTTTTTTTTCAATTGACTGAATTGTACAGTTGTTTATTAGGTACATTTCCTGGTTTGGTTTGTTTTTTTGTCTCATTTTCCTTTCTTTGTAATTACAAAAACATCCTTGATCAATAAAACTGAAATGGAAAACACCTCAACCCCCTTCTTTCTTACCCTGGCCCAGGGACATGCTTTACTTTCTTAAACTTTAGAAAATTAGAATGCCACTCCAGGACTCTAAGCAGTTTGCACAAACGACAACCATTACTGTTGGTTAGATGAGGTAACTTCCCTTCTATCCCAGATTAAGTGCCTTTTTTATTTTTATTTTTTCTACATTATTTTTTGTCTCTCCTCTATCG